ACTTCTTAGAAAATAGAGGTTATAAAATCTCTAAAGAAAAAGCTCAATTGTGTCAGTCTAGGGTTACATATTTAGGTCTTGTCCTGGAGAAAGAAATGAGGGCTCTAGGAGAAAATAAAATCTGTCCAATCCTAATGGTTCCTCTACCTAAAACTCTAAAGCAATTGAGGGCCTTTTTGGGGGTCACAGGATACTGTAGAATTTGGATCCTGGGATATGCAGACCTAGCCAGGCCCTTATATCAAATCCTTAAGGAAGCACAGAAGGATATCCAGCCCTTTATTGAATGGGATGACAAGTCAGAAAATGAATTCCACCTGTTTAGAGGCTCTTATGAGCTCCCGCCCTGAGTTTCCCAGTACAAGACAAGTTTCAATTATGTGTCTATAGAAAGGGAGGACGGGCCTTGGGAGTGGTGACTCAGCTCCGGGGCATCACTCCCCAGCCAGTAGGATACTTAAGCAAAGAGTTAGATCAGGTAGCCAAGGGATGGCCAGGATGTCTTAGAGCAGTGGCTGCAGTAAGCCTTCTAGTGCCTGAAGCTCAAAACTTATCCTAAACTGCCCCCTAATGGTTTATACCCCACACGACCTAGGGGGAATTTTAAACTCAGAAGGAGAACTTTGGCTATCTGACAGCCATCTACTTAAATACCAGGCCCAGCTTCTGGGAGGGAAAGAAATAACTTTAAGGACTTGTCAGAGCCCAAATCCTGCATCCCTTCTACCAGAGGCAGAGGGAAGTCCTGAACCCTCATATGAGGAGGTACTTATGGAAAATTATGCTGCCTGAACTGACTTAACTGATTGGCCCTTAAGAAACCCAGCTCTAGAATTATACACTGATGGCAGTTCCTTTGTCAAGAATGGTGTCAGACATGCAGGGTTTGCAGTTGTAAGAGAATTTGACATCCTCAAATCAGGTCCTCTTCCTTCTAATACAAGTGCTCAATTGGCAGAATTAGTGGCCCTAACAGAAGTCCTAAGACTGTCAAAAGAACAGAGAATCAACATCTATACAGATTTTAAGTATGCCTTCCTGATCCTGCATGCTCATGCATCCATCTGGAAGGAAAGAGGAATGCTAACTACAACTGGCTCTCCCATTAAACATGCTTGTGACATACTAGCCCTCCTAGATGCTGTTCTATTGCCTAAAGAGGTCTTGGTGATTCATTATAAAGGTCACCAAAAAGGGGAAGATAAGATAACAAAGGAAAACAAAGCAGCCGATGAGGCAGCTAAATGAGCAGCCATGCAGGAATATATAGCTGGCCCTCTCCTCTGGGAGAGGACTCTCCTTTCCCCAGAGAGACCACATTATCGGTCAGAGTAAAGTAAGCAAGCCTCAGACCAAGGGTACCAGTTAGATCACTGAGGCTGGTGGATGTCACCAGGAGGAAAGTTATGGCTCCCTGAGGCACTCCAATGAAAATTCTTAAGACTGTCCTCCAACTCTACCATTTGGGCTTAGACAATACTCTTGTTTTGGTCAACAAAATGTTTGGGGGAATTAAATTAAGAGACACTGCCCAACAAGTTGTACAGGGATGTGAAATGTGCTGCCCCCCAAAAAAAATCCCAATAACAAAAGACTCCAGGTGCCAGGAGCACAGAGACAGGAATCCTATCCTGGGGAAGACTGGCAACCAGACTTTACCCATATGCCAGGGGGACCAAAGTCAAAACTACTGTTAGTATTTGTGGATACGTTCACTGGATGGGTGGAAGCTTTTCCTTGCAGTACAGAACGTGCTAGGGAGGTGGTCCAAGTTCTAATCACAGAAATAATCCCTCACTTTGGCCTCTCCAAAAGCATTCAAAGTGATAATGGGCCTGTATTTAAGGCAGAAGTAACTCAGGGACTCTCTAGAGCACTAGGCATAGAATACCACCTCCACTGTGCCTGGTGTCCCCAGTCATCTGGAAAGGTAGAAAAAACAAATGAACTTTTAAAAAGACACCTGGCTAAATTGGCCCAAGAAACCCACTACCCCTAGACCAATCTCCCTACTGCTCTCATCGGGCTCAGAAACACTCCAGGCAAGCAGGGACTGACCCCTTTCGAATCTCTATATGGCAGGCCCTTCCTAACCAATGACCTCCTTCTTGACCAAGAGATAGCTCAGTTAATTTCCCATGTCACTCAACTTGCTAAATTCCAACAAGCACTCTAGGAGATCAAACAAGCCACCCTCAGGGAGGATGTAAAGGGACCCCTTCTCTTTTGCCCTGGTGACTTAGTCCTAATAAAGTCTCCAAATCCAACCTGGGACTTGGGTTCATTTCTCAGACAAAAATTTGCATGTTTAATGTTTCTGTCCGAGACAACTGTATACCAGTTTGTCATTCGTCAATAAAAGACCTAGGGCCTACATTCCAAAAAAACATTTTTGACTTCACCACCCTTAAAGATGACTATCATCTCACAGCCAGCTGGTGCAGTATGAATAACTCTAAGAGCCCTACTCTTATGAGTCCCGATGCGTTTAGGGATAATGCTTGTAAGGCGAGCCTTGTCTCTGAGCTAAACAAGTCCTCAAACCTCACTGGTAAAAACTCTTATTGCATACTTACTACTGGCCATCACAAATGTATCTTAACAAAGTATATGACAGGATTAAGAAAGCTGTATAACTCTTCCTTTCCACCTTGTGTGCCTCCATCTTTTACCAGCAGCCTTAATGTCTCTGACTACTTGTTTCCAGGAGACACTTCCCAGGCCCATGCTAACAACACTCAAGGTATTTTATGCCTTGAGGAAGGCTATCTCTTTGTAGGGAGGTCATGGAAAAAGAACCAGGTATGGGGGCTGCCATGTCTACACCCAAACCATACTCAAGGAAATTGGGCAATTGCCCAATTTATACCCAATCCTGAGCATATCTCTTTTTGGAATAATTCTATAATACAACAAACTGAATTTTCCCAACAAACAGGAACAGCTTTCCATAGAGATAAAAGAGAGGTTACTTTAATAGTTTTAGGGATAACAGCATTAGTTGCAGCCCTTGCTGGAATCAGCTATGGGGTGATTGCCAATTATGTAACTGCAAAAAACCTAACCAAAGTGGTAGAGGACACCTCAGACCAGGTAGGCCTTGCCATTAAGGACAGGCAAAGGTCTTTGTCGTCCCTTGCCTGTATGGTCAGGGACCACTGCCTGGCCCTAGATTTCCTTTAGGCCAAACAAGGAGGGGTATGTGCCATTGCCAATACTTCCTATTGCACATATATAAACACTTCAGGCATTGTAGAGGAATGTGCAGGTTACATTCTTCAACAGGCCAAATGGCTCCAGGAGCAATCTCTTGAAACTCAAGTTTTTACACAGGTATGGGACCAAATAAAATCCTGGCTCCCCTCCAGGACTTGGTTCCTACCCTTTCTGAGGCCTATAGTTGCCATTATTCTCTTGCTTGTGTTTGGGTCCTGCATTTTAAACTTACTTATCAAGTTTGTTTCTGCTTTCTAGAATCCATCAAACTACAAATGCCTCTGATGGAGATGAAAACGACCTGCGAGTGTGGTCCCCGGGACAAGCCCTTTTGTGGTCAGTCCTGATGCTGCGGGCCCCTTCATCGCCCCCTGTCAGCTGGAAGCAGTTACTGAACAGACATTGTAGTCCCTATTCCTAACAGCAGTTAGGGCAGTCACCGAGAGGGGGGACTTGAAGGACGGACTGTGGGAGGTCAAGGAGACACTTCTCCCCAGGAAACGCCTGTCTGCATCTGAAAGGCATTTCTGCCCTTAGGCAATGCAAAAAGGCTATAAAACCCAATCCCCAACCTGACCCATGGGACCACCGGTTTCTGGGTCCCCTGCATTCCCCACTATGCAGTCTTTCTCTTCTCTTCTCTACAAATAAAATCTTTCCCACCTCTGCTGTTAGAGTCTGTCTGTGCTTTCATTCTCAGAGCAGGCTCAAGAACCTTGAGCACCTGAAATTCCTGCTTGTGTCATCAGTGCATCAGAAGGGTCTAAATAAATGCTCAATGGATTTTTTTTTTCAATAGTTTGAAATCCTCCCCTCAAACATTTGTAGTTTTTCACTGTCATATTTGATCTTCTGTCAAGAGAGGCAGAGGAGGCCAGGCTGGGACATACTCTTCCAGACTGTTCCAAGTGCCTTTCGTCATTTTGGACTTATCTCGACCACACAGTTGAGAAAAGGCAGATAAGAGGCTAATACAAGACCTTGCCATGTCATTGCCTAACAGCAAAGCCACTTCAGAGTTACAGAAATAATTTGGATGCTTCTGGTTTTTATAGAAAAAAATCATTTCCAAGGATTTCTTGTTTTCGAGTCAGAATGAAGCAAGCTGAACTTGGGGCAGAGGTCAGCGAAGCAAAATTACAGGCAGTGGAGTTTATAATTTGTGACAACGCATTTGATTCCCAGGGCTCAAGCTATGAAACTTTTTGTTTTTTGACGTGTATGAGGCTTTCTTTCACGTCGCCTGTGCTTCTTAACAGTTGCCCGAAACAGCCACTTTATGGACTTGGAGAATTGCTACTTTTGTTACAGATGAACTTGTGGACCTAGGGTTGATTTGATTTGATTAGGAAATATGCCGGGACTTTGCGCCGAGGTCGCTGTCCTCACTAGGATGGAAATTGCACCCGTCCCATCACTATCTCCTGATGCCCTTCTTTGCTCTTGCACCCTTGGTCGCATGACTGACAAGCCTACACCTCTCACCCGCGCAGGGACAGAACAGTCGCCCCCGTTGGCTAGCCCGGGGACCTCCCCCCACCTTCTGCGCAGACTCAGCGAAGCCCCGCCCCGCCTTCGGCGCTTGGCCGTGGGTGACTGTGAAGGGCAGCTCTCACAGCCAATCAACGCCAACACCCTGGCGGGGTTGCGCTTAGGCTGGCGGAGGACATCGGCCGAGGACGGGGCCCCTTGAGTGACAAGCATGATATCCAATCCTCGAAGACTGCTCACCACCCGCCCCCTCTGTTACGCCACCGCCCTGTCCAGGGCACCCGGCGCTGGGAATGTCCTAGACTAAGGTGGCCAAGACGCGTGCTCTGCTCCACCAGGCACGGTTGTGTGTGCAAGGCCTGGGGAAGCGCGAAGTGTTCTGAGATGGCCGGACAGGAGGACAAGGCTGTGAAGTACTACACCTTGGAAGAGATTCAGAAGCACAAAACCAGCAAAAGCACCTGGGTGATCCTGCACCACAAGGTGTACGACCTGACCAAGTTTTTGGAAGAGGTGAGTTGGGGAGGCGCTAGTCGCTGCGCGGGGAGCCTGGCCGGGGCGGTTCGGTGTGAACCCCAGGAGCGCGCCCCGCATCTGCACCCCGAAGTGTGCGCACCTGACTTGCGCCCCTGGGAGCGCTCCCCCAATCCGCAGCCCCTGCCCGCGCGCTCCTAAGTGTGCGCACCTGCGAGCTCCCGGACGGCGTCGGCGGCGTCGCTGTCGCCTGAGCCATTTTAGCAGCCCGTGGGGTGACTGGCGCACTTTTAGGGCCGCAGCTGGCCCTGGAGACCCGGCGAGGGCGTGTCCAAGAACTATATCCTGCTTCCTAGGAGAGGGCGCAGCTACAGGAAGATTTTAAAGATCCCCTTTGCTTTTGAGTTTGATGGAAGGCTCTCCATCTAGGACAGAGGTCGACCCTCTGATGTTACTCCATGAGCGGACTTCTTACACCAACCCCGGGTGGGAACACCCACCTGAGGGTTGTAGGATCCTGCTAGAGGGCACCCTGTGGTCGGAGGTCGCGGTGGGGTCTGGCTGCGTTCTCCCCAGACACCTCCAGGCCCACCCTGCCATCGTGCCCTACACCTACCCGTGTTCACCCCCAGGGTGACTTGGCAGTCGGGTTCAGCGCTCCACTTCTGAGACTGAGGACGACTCAGTGGTGTGTGGCTGAGGGAGGACAAGGAACTGGTAGGCATCTATTAAATCTGCAAGCGGGACCTGGTCTTTAAGCAACTTTGGGAGCTGTAAATTAACTGCTTAACTTAAAGGAAGACGTTCCTTTGATAAAATTCTTTGCATTTTTGCTTTGCAATGTAAGGGATGCTTCTAGTAATTGTCTTTGCTACCTCTGAATATTTTATTGCTTTGTGGGGGTTCTTTGAATAATAACACAGCACTTTTGCACTCTCCACCTCCTAAAATAAATGAGAATGTTTACTGATGGGAATTATTTACATAGCCCGGTCTTAGTTGGATTACAGTTTACATCAAAGAACTTTTGTTTTGCAGAGAATGTGAACCCCCCCCCCAAAAAAAGGCTGTTTTTAAAAGTTTGAAGTTGATGTTTCTTGGTAAGGTTGTTCACTCTTCACTTGTCATTTGGGAGACTGCCAGAAGATAAATAGGGTTCTGATTTAGTTAGGAGTGGTTTACAGTATGGAATCACATCTGTCCTCCCTTCTCCTGAGCTAAGAGTGCTTTTGCTATTACAGTTTATCAAACTCACAGTCTTGCAGCAGGCCGATGTGACTAAGTCTTTAAGCAAACTATCCCTTCATTCTCTCCCATGGTATGTATGTCTCTGGTTTTAAGATGTAGTGTGCACTTTGGCTCTTTGTGTCTGTAAAAAAGAGTAGTATTTGTAAAAGAATATTGGGGTATTATATATTTTTTCTTCTTTTTTTTTTCTGCTAGTGGTGGGGTTTGAACTCAGGGCCATGCACTTGCTAGACTTGAACCACATCCATGCCCTTTTTGCTTTAGTTATTTTTCAGATAGGTCTTGCGTGTTTGCCTGGGGGTGTGGGGTGAGGACTTTGATCCTCCTGTTTGTACATACTCCCCTGTAGTATGCCAGCCACTACAGCCAAACTTATTGGTAGAGATGGAGTCTTACTAGTTTTCTGTCTGGCTGGCCTTGTACTGCCATCCTCCTGATCTCCTCCTCCTCCTTAGTAGCTGGGATTACAGGCATGAGCCACTGTACCTGGCTGTTTTTTCTTGAAACCATTCTAACTTATTTAGGAGAAGACATTCTCCTAAAACAGTGTTTTGACCTTGGCACTATTGACACTTGGGGGCCCTATAATTCTTTGTTGTAGGGTCTGTGCTGGTCAGTATAGTACCTTGAGCAGCCTCCCTGGCCTCCACCCACTAGATGTTCCACCTCCCCCAGATGAAACAACTCAGTCTCCCCATACTTCTGACAGTCCCCATGGGTACACAGTCCCTTCTAGCTGAGAATCACTGCCCTAAAACATACTGTGCACAACTTTTGAGGGTAGATTTTAAGAAAGAGGTAATAAGGGAGAGAAGATTATTGTTAAAATTTCTCAACTACTTTCATGTTCATTAGGCAGAAAGAAATGGCATGAAAGTTTTCTGAGTAAAACTGGAAGGGATAAGAATGAGCTGTTCAGTGAGAAAATTAGCTGAAAACAAATTCCTTTATTCTTTCCCTCTCAAACTTTTCAGTAGCCTCTCTTTGAAAACGGCTTGTGAAGAATTCATCTCAAATAAAGCAAAGAGGAAGGCTGCCAACTCTTGGAAATCGGACAGCTAGAAAGACAGATGTTTGCATGGCATGAGGAGGCTTGAATTTGGGGGAACATGTGAGTGAAGGGGTTGAAGGATCGCTAGGTGCCAGGAGAACCGCTTATCTCATCTCTAAGCTTGCTGTCTGAGGTCATGTCGTTCTCGTGGGTGGGAATTACAAAACCTTTTTCTTGACTGTGTTAGCCTTCTCAGTACCTCTCAGTCTACCTTTTGCTGGCGTTTTGCCATTTGGCATTGTTACTATTTTCTTTTACTTCCTGTAACTATTTCTTGCTTCATGCAGGGTCCTGGTGACTTCCCACCCCTCCAGCATGAACCTTCGGGGCCTCTCTGGGTTCGTCTTGGCTCTAGGATTTCCTGGTGCCCATTTGGTCACACATACATCTTCTCATTCAGACATCTTCAGCAGGACACTGGGCTGGAGAGTATTCCTTCTTTCTAGATGCTTCTGGTTTATGTTGTTTTATTAGGCAGGCATTGTCTATCTTATTCCTAGCTTTAAAACAGAGCTAGGATGTCTATCTCTGTTCCTCCTTGCTCTGACTTTCACCTTTTCTTCCACATTTAAGGGCTCCATAAGGTGAGTGTGGTGCACACCTGTAATCCCAGCACTCTAGAGGCTGAGACAGGAGGACTGTGAATTCGAAGCCAATCTGGACTACAGAATGAGACCCCTGGTCTCAAATTAACAAACATATTCCAGAAATTTTATGAAGGATGTTATCTTAACAATATTCTGTTTTCCCTAACTTATCTAAATATGAATTTTGGGGGGGGTCCTTCCTACCTCTAAAATGAACTTTCAGTCATTATGGACTGCATATCCATATACCCAGAATTCCCCCATCCATGTGGACGGGCGTTCTTGTGGCTGAATTTTTCCCCTTCTTTCAGAATACCATTGATTTAGATGACTATCAGCACTGGTGTTGAGCAAACTCGTGGTGTGAGTGAGGGAGGGCTCTTGCTGTGCTGCCTACCGTCTCTGAACCTTAGATTTCAAATTTTTCCAGTGGAAGAATGATAGCCTACATGTGATTATTGAGAGAAGCAAACAAACAATGCTTGTTAAACACACACCAGGATGACAGGTGCTTTTATTCATTTGTAAACTCCTGCGGTAGGGCCAAGGTTGGGCTCTGACTTTCTTTCTGTAGTCTCGTCTATAGTGAGCAATGTGTGTTTTCAGGCAAAGCTAAAAATCCAACAGGTAATACTGAAACAGGTGAGTATTATAAAAATTATATTTCCATTTGAGAACACAGGTTGGAGTTTAGTTGTGCAACATGAGCTCAGTCCTCCTGACATGAAGCTGTTCCGTTGTTCGGCGGGGAGGGGCAGAACTCTAAGAGGGAAGAAGGGCTGTGTTAATGGCAGTCTAAGTAGGGGCAGGCATTTGATTTGCACCTGACACCTGCCAGCAGGATTACGAGCCTTCCTGCCTATGTATTTTGAACTAGATTTCTTTTTTTAGGTCCTGACTTCTAGTTTTTGAGTTTATGTTTGTGAAATTGAGTCGTCATATCTGATTGTTTAATTAGCTGGGTTAATGATTATAAAACTTTGAGGAACCATAATTTGAAATGAAAACTAAGGTATTTAGGGCCAGGAAGGAAAGTTTGCATTTCCCTTTCTGGAATCTGGATAGTAGCATTTTAATACCAGTTAGATTCGTTACTGCTTTCAGTTCGGGTCAGTGGGTATTCAAAAATTAGATGCCTCCCTGCAAATTCTTATAAAGCCAATTGGCCCCCCTCCCTTTATTATAAAAATGGAAACTTGTTTCTGTAGAACATTTGCTGTTGATCCTGGATTCTGAGACTTACAGCACAGTCTTGAATGTTCTCTAACAGCACTCTGCCTCGATAGAGCAAAATCTGTTGGCTCCTGATGCACGTTGACTTTCGGGGACTTGAGAAGGTTTTGTTGTGGGAACTTACATGCCACCCTGTGTGGCTGCCTACCCTGTATAGACCAGGGTGTCTGATTTTGGGGGACCACAGATTCTTCAAGATCTGGGAAGAGAGTTGTGGGTATTTAAGATTTTTGTCTAATTCTGAAAAATGGGATATATCTTTACCCTTGACAAAGCTGGCATATTTCAGGCTAGAATACTAAGTGAGTGCTTTTTGCAAGGAATTTAGATAATATTCTGATTCTCATGCTATTAAAAGCAACCATTGCCATATGTGCCTTTGGTGAATGTAAAGTGGAAATATTACTGATTATTTAATATATGTAGTTTGGTTAAAAGAACTTAGAAAATGTGACATTCATAGGAGGAAAACAGAAAGGGATCATTGGTAACAATGGCTTTAAGGCATCTTGGGTAAAAAGGCAGCAAAACCACATCTCACAAGGCCACCAGGGGAATGTGAACCTGTGGGTCTTTTATGTTTTTCTATTTTTTAAAAATTACCAATTACTACTTTTGGAAAGAGACTTCCAAGAAGCTACTTTGTTTTGAAACAGTAAAACAAAATAAAACAAAAAAACTCACCAAAACCCCAAAAGCACTTGAAGCAGTTAACTTTAGCTTTTTGTTTCTTTAAGATGAATGACAACTGTATATAAGAAAGAACAGGTTATGCCGGCCAGCTTGAGTAATTCAGAGAATAAAGAATGCACTAACCTCTACTTAACATGGGTGTCAGTAATTCTAGAAGTCCTCAAGAACCCACAAATAATGAGTCCAAACAGCCCCAGTCCCACTTGACAGTCATGGGAAGGTGTAGG